AAGTCATATCCGCGTTTTATCCAAAAGGATAAAACGCGGATATGGTCCAGAAAACGTTTTTCAGCCCTTTTTAAGTCATATCCGCGTTTTATCCAAAAGGATAAAACGCCGATATGGTCCAAAAAACGTTTTTCAGCCCTTTTTAAGTCATATCCGCGTTTTATCCAAAAGGATAAAACGCTGATATGGTCCAAAAAACGTTTTTCAGCCCTTTTTAAGTCATATCCGCGTTTTATCCAAAAGGATAAAACGCTGATATGGTCCAAAAAACGTTTTTCAGCCCTTTTTAAGTCATATCCGCGTTTTATCCAAAAGGATAAAACGCGGATATGGTCAAAAGAACGTTCTATAAGGGCATATCTATATGTATAAAGAATATTGAATATTGTCCTAGAATTTGAACAAATAAAAACCAATGTCTCTTCGCTTAATTACTTACTGCGAGATAAGAGTTCTAAAATTACAATTTAGTGTTTAATAAAGTTTTAATTTAGTGTCAGTTATCTGGACATGTAGTACTCCAATTTTATGACAACGTAATGTGCTGTTTTTCAAATGCTTTGATGTCAATGCAGTTATCGGTTTAAATATACCTACAATTCGTTAAGTAACAGTTAAGATATGACAATTGCCGTACGGCCTACTTTTACGCGAACGCAAATTGACAACTGCAACTTTCATGCTTAATTTCTTCTGTTATCTGGGCATGTAGTAATGTAATTTTATGCCAATGTAAGGTGCTATTTTGCTAGGGCTTTTCAATGCTGTTTTCGTTTTAAATATACCTCAAATTCCCGTTAAGATATGACAATTGCCGTACGGCCTACTTTTACGCGAACGCAAATTACAACTGCAACTTTCATGCTTAATTTTCTCTGTTATATATGCATGTAGTAATGTAATTTTATGCCAATGCAATGTGCTATTTTTCAAGGGCTTTTCAGTGCAGTTATCGGTTTAAATATACCTCAAATTTCCGTTAAGATATGACAATTGCCGTACGGCCTACTTTTACGCAAACGCAAATTGACAACTGCAACTTTCATGCTTAATTTTCTCTGTTATCTGGGCATGTAGTAATGTAATTTTATGCCAATGTAAGGTGCTATTTTCCAGGGCTTTTCAATGCAGTTATCGCGGTTGAAATATACCTAAAATTCTCGTTAAGATATGACAATTGCCGTACGACCTACTTTTACGCAAACGCAAATTAGCTACAATTGCAACTTTCATGCTTAATTTTCTCTGTTATCTGGGCATATAGTAATCTAATATTATGCAATGTAATGTGCTGTTTTTTCAAGGGCTTTTCAGTGCAGTCATCGCTTTAAATATACCTACAATTCTCGTTAAGATATGACAAGTGCCGTATGGGCTACTTTTACGCAAACGCGCAAATTACAACTGCGAGATAAGAGTTCTAAAATTAGAATTTTGCAATAATCATGGCAGGCGGAAATACGTTTCTCTTTAATTACCGAACAACTGTCTTTACAACAAAGTTGCCCGAGAACGATAGAACATTCGTTGTCAAGAAGCTGGTAGACTCCAGCCATGACTGAGGGGAGACCGAATCGTTAGTCAAAGAAGCGCGGCTTCTTTCAAAACTACATCACGTGAACGCAGTTCAATTCAAGGGAATTTGTGTCGACCAGTATGCTTTAATCCTTGAACATGTTCAACTTGACTTTGCTCCAATTGGATTTGCTACATAACATGCACAGAACCGAAGATAAGAACCTGCAAAATACAAGGTCGGTTTCAACCTGGTTTATATTTCGGAGCCAAACGAAAGAGAGTTAATTTTCTCTGTTATCCGGCCCTCGATCCGGCCGTGTTGCCAAAATGAAAGTGGCAATTGTAATTCGCGTTTGCGTGAGAAAAGTAGGCCGTACGGCAATTGTCATATCTTAACGGGAATTTGAGGTATATTTCAACCGCGATAATTGCATTGAAAAGCCCTGGAAAATAGCACCTTACATTGGCATAAAATTACATTACTACATGCCCAGATAACAGAGAAAATTAAGCATGAAAGTCAGTGCAGTTCTAATTTGCGTTCGCGTAAAAATAGGCCGTACGGCAATTGTCATATCTTAACGGGAATTTGAGGTATATTTAAACCGATAACTGCATTGAAAAGCCCTTGAAAAATAGCACCTTACATTGGCATAAAATTACATTACTACATGCCCAGATAACAGAGAAAATTAAGCATGAAAGTTGCAGTTGTAATTTGCGTTCGCGTAAAAGTAGGCCGTATGGCAATTGTCATATCTTAACGGGAATTTGAGGTATATTTAAACCGATAACTGCATTGAAAAGCCCTTGAAAAATAGAACCTTACATTGGCATAAAATTACATTACTACATGCCCAGATAACAGAGAAAATTAAGCATGAAAGTTGCAGTTGTAATTTGCGTTCGCGTAAAAGTAGGCCGTACGGCAATTGTCATATCTTAACTGGAATTGTAGGTATATTTAAACCGATAACTGCATTGACATCAAAGCATTTGAAAAACAGCACATTACGTTGTCATAAAATTGGAGTACTACATACCAGATAACTGACACTAAATTAAAACTTTATTAAACACTAAATTGTAATTTTAGAACTCTTATCTCGCAGTAAGTAATTAAGCGAAGAGACATTGGTTTTTATTTGTTCAAATTCTAGGACAATATTCAATATTCTTTATACATATAGATATGCCCTTATAGAACGTTCTTTTGACCATATCCGCGTTTTATCCTTTTGGATAAAACGCGGATATGACTTAAAAATGGCTGAAAAACGTTTTCTGGACCATATCCGCGTTTTATCCTTTTGGATAAAACGCGGATATACGACTTAAACTGCGGCTGAAAAACGTTTTTTGGACCATATCCGCGTTTTATCCTTTTGGATAAAACGCGGATATGACTTGAAAAAGGCTGAAAAACGTTTTTTGGACCATATCCGCGTTTTATCCTTTTGGATAAAACGCGGATATGACTTAAAAAGGGCTGAAAAACGTTTTCTGGACCATATCCGCGTTTTATCCTTTTGGATAAAACGCGGATATGGCTTAAAAAAGGGCTGAAAAACGTTTTTGGACCATATCCGCGTTTTATCCTTTTGGATAAAACGCGGATATGACTTAAAAAGGGTTGAAAAACGTTTTTTGGACCATATCCGCGTTTTATCCTTTTGGATAAAACGCGGATATGACTCAAAAAAGGCTGAAAAACGTTTTCTGGACCATATCCGCGTTTTATCCTTTTGGATAAATGCCGGCTGAAAAATGGCTGAAAAACGTTTTCTGGACCATATCCGCGTTTTATCCTTTTGGATAAAACGCGGATATGACTTAAAAAGGGCTGAAAAACGTTTTCTGGACCATATCCGCGTTTTATCCTTTTGGATAAAACGCGGATATGACTTAAAAATGGCTGAAAAACGTTTTCTGGACCATATCCGCGTTTTATCCTTTTGGATAAAACGCGGATATGACTAAAAAAGGCTGAAAAACATTTTTTGGAAGCCGTCCGTCCGTCCGCCACTCATCCGTCCGTCCATCCGCCATCCATCCGTCCGTCCGTATCCGCGTTTTATCCTAACCCTTTGGATACTTGATGAAAGTCACTAGTGTTTTCATCAAATATCTTAATTACGCATGCAAAATTACTTGAATAGAATTCCTAATTACGTTATGCTTGGTTAAGAATTCTATTCAAATCAGCAAACGAAAACATTCTGTTACGTCTCGATTCATTTGAGAAGCCATATAAACAACTCGAGCTCGTGTCTCACCGGGATATCCAAACACTCGAAAACAATGTATGAAAACACTCGCGCTCGTGTTCTCATACATTGTTTTCTCGTGTTTGGATATCCCGGTGAAACACTCGCTCTCGTTGTTCATATATTACATCCGAGGTCGTATTTGTTTGCTTAATACATAGATATCTTATATACACTAGATAGCGCATCTCTTTTAGTAAAATTGAAGCCAAGAATATTCCAGCGGTTACTCCCATTTGAATAGATGGCGGCCATGTTGGTCGTTCCCACTTGCTAATAAACGCTTAAAAACAACAATAACTTTCATTATTTGAATAGTTTAAAAACGTATTTGGAATAGGGTTAACTTAATGTTTAAGTTCCCTGTTTAAGAAATAGAAAACATACGAATCTTCTCATTTCAAGGGAACGACCTGAGACTGCAATCACGGCTTCAATTTTTGAATTGCAGAATAATTAGATGCACTATCTAGTGTATATAAGATATCTATGGCTTAATAACGCGATTTGTGTCTAATACGCTCACTAGAAATTCCTTGAAAGATTTGCCTTTCTTTCCATTGAAAGTCAAAGAGTTTTGTTTGCCCGGGTACCAAGTCATAATAAAATCAGAGCTTAAGTTTATAAACTGTTTGGCTTTACCGCCAGGCGACGTCCATTTACCCGTTAATCCGACAACATTTTCGGCAAAAGTCCTTAACGAACAGAGGTCGTTTGTCCATTTGAGACGGATTCCATCATAAACTAGATGACCTTGATTGTTTAACAACTTTATGGAGTTCATATCAATAGTTTCAGGACTAAAATTTTCAAGTTTAGTTGAGGCCATAATTAAACCATCCCCCGCCATGTTGTAGTATATCATAGATAGCAGAGTATGAGGTTCTAGATTCCGACGGTCCATTCTCAACTGATGATAAAATTGTGGCATAAATTAATCTGGGAGCAGAGGGAAAAGAATGTCAGCAAAACGAAACTAATCATGCTAGAACTTCTTTAACAGTTATCGAAGCCCCACGAAACACGGGCTCAAATTCTAAACGCGAGAATGAGAACACCTGTCCCACTTATTCGCAGGCTGTCTCGAGAAGTTCCCATGAAAACCCCCGAAACACAGACTCGAGTACTCGACGGGATAACAACACTAATTCGACCACCCAATCACAGGCAACCGCGACGAATTCCTCTACAGAGAAGGCGGCTGAACCCACACCGATGGATACATCTGATTCTCTGGAAGATCGTCCAACCCACCCGACCGACCGTACTTCGTCTCAAGCAAGCAATAACACCCCTGAAGGAAGCACACCTCAACATCAAACTTCGAGTAGTAGCCTGGATGAGGCTACAACGAAAGAAATTACCTTGAAGAAAATTTACGATGGGCTCGAGAAATATTTCGGCAGCGAAGGAAACGTGGATATTGAACGTACCAGTCATGGTGATGTACAATTAACATTCAAACATGACACAAAATACTGGATAATTCGCTTCCCTGAAACCTTCCCAAATCAACCTGCGCGACTTTCCTCGGCGCACAGTCCTGAACGTTTGTAAAAAATGTCACCATGTTCTGACTGTTCTGATTATTTTCTAGTGAAAGCTCTTACCAATCATGTCAATGTGCTGCTGTCTATCAAGAAAAATTGCTATGGTTCATGTAAGATTTGCAAAAATATCAGTAAAGAAAATTTAGCCAAGCCTGGTGCTGCAGTGCCCCCAGACAACTCAAAGGTTACGGACGTTGTAAATGAGTTAACAAAGGATATCAAAATGACCCTCTCAACACCGTTAACGTTTGCTAGTCAAGCCCAAAATGACGGGAGTAATACTAATAGAATTGAATATCAGCATCATGCGACGTGGTCCATAGAGATCCCGGCCCAGTTTCCTGATAAACCTGCAGAGGTATACAAACAAGAAAGTAGCCATCACGATCCGGAGAAGAAGGCATTAAATGATTTGTTAAAGAGCAAACATGAACAGAAATCATTGGTTTCGTCAGATCTCATCATGTTAGCCATCAGAAGTAACTGTTACTGCTCAGAATGTTATAGAATATAGGAAACGTCAAAACAAGTAGCCGACAGACAATAGGTACGGTATTCTAGTTCTGATATGATTGCATTTAATGTGTATAGGCTGCTTTTTGTGCACATTCACGTGCGTATGATGCTCAGTATAGTTTGTTGGAGTTTAACTGTATGTTAGCGAGAAAATGTTTAGAAATGTAACTGAATATGAATTTCATGCAATAATTTTGAAAATATAATGATAAAAATGTGATTGTGAAATAAAGTATTTTCCATTACCGTATTCCTGTATTAAGCTTCGTCTAATATGACTCCCCTTGTAGAGGACGAAATCTATCGAGCCCTTCCACATACCTTGCGTAATATAACAGCATGACACCAAACACTGATTCTTGTGTACTCCACTTTCTGGAACTAAAGAGTTCTCCCGGTAGAAAAGACCAATATTTTTCTTGGTAAAACCACAGGTGGTACACTCTTAGTTTTTGTCATGTAAACGGTTTTAAAACAGCCAAATAAGCAAAATTTACCTTAGTAAAAGAGTAAAATAAACTAATTGACTTTCGGGACGGAAGCGGTTCTATGGTGCGAGTCGTTCTTTTTTATTTCAAAAAAGCCTTTGACTTAATTGATCATGGTATTCTCCTAGACAAAGCGTACTACCTTCGAAATACCAAAGCGAATCATTGGGTGGATCGTTAATGTTCTCAAAGACCGTAAACAGCGCGTCCAGTTAAGCCAAGATTGTTATTCTGAATGGAGTTTGGTTCCGGCAGGCGTGCCCCAAGGGACTAAATTGGGTCCTTGGCTTTTTGTTATAATGATAAATAACCTAGAAATTGAGGATATAGATTTATGGAAGTATGTGGACGATACTACAATCTCCGAGACTGTCCTTAAACATGAAGCCAGTAGCATACAATAGTCGGTAGACGAGTTTACAAGGAAATCAACTGTAAATAAATTTCTAAACGAAGAGAAATGCAAAGAGCTTCAAATTACCTTTGCAAGACCTGGGCGTATGTTTACACCCGTGTATGTTAATAATAGGCCGATCGAAGTTGTTCCTTCTGCAAAAATATTGGGCATGCGAATTACGAACGATCTGTAAATCGAATACCCACATCTCAGGGATTGTGAAGAAAGTTTCAACAAGACTCTTCTTCCTTTGTCAACTAAAAAGAACAAAAATCTGTACAAAGAATTTACTAACATTTTACCTGACCTGTGTGCGTCCTTTCAACTCTGTGATGGAATATGCTTGTCCCATTTTCCACGACTCCTTACCCAATTACCTATGCGAAGATCTGGAGAAGTTACAGAAACGAGCCCTTCATATCATCTTCCCAACGTTACCTTATAACAGAAGCTTTGGTAGAAGCGGGAGTTGACTCATTATTTAATAGAAGACAAATTCTAACTATACTATATAAACTATTTAATGACATTGCAAATGACGAAAGTCATAAGCTTTACCAATTACTACCAAGTAAGAACTTTTCAAATTATAATATGAGGAAAGAGAACATTTTTAACGTTTCTATTAGTAGGACGAATAGATTTAAAAATAGTTTTATACAACATAATTCTACAGTGTATTTTAGATAAAGTAAATATTTATTGTAAAGGTAGAAGCGTAATTCAACCCGTGGGTTGTAATGTTTTTATTTAATTAAACTATCTATCTATATCTGATGGCTTTATGATGTGTATTAGGCCAGTCGAGATTGAGAAATATTCCTTGACACATTTACTAGCTAACTGTGTTATTAGCATATTACGCGTGTCAAGGAATATTTCTCGACTTAGTACATGCACATCAAATAGCCATTGGGTGAGTAAATTTGTTTATTTTAACTGTTACTTTTTGCGAGGTAAATTTTGTTTTTTTGGCTGTTTTAAAATAATTTACATAACATAAACTAGCCAGTCTATGACCGATCTGCCCGTGATAAAAGTGATAAAACGTTAGATAGCTACATGATTATGTTAAAGTCTGTCTAGTATAATATATTGTGATTTATGTAAATTTAAATACGAAATTGGCTGAGCTTGTAATTTAATTCAGACGAAAGTATATATGTACTATTTAAAGCACGCGTAGGAGTGTTTTATCACATATAAAACACGACGCGTAGCGGAGTGTTTTATATGTGATAAAACACGACTACAAGTGCTTTAAATAGCTTCAAAAACGACTC